TTGAGTCAAGCTCAGCTTCTCATCGCGTAACTTTAGCTGTTTATATATTATTGTTTGATAAATTTCCAGATTAACTCCATTAGCTCTCATTAGTGAACTGCGGAAAGGAGTCACTAGCATGCATTTACAAGAAGGTCTTGGTCGAATGGTAACCGTGGGGTTCGATAGGATGGTTATGATATATGATGTCAAACAACTTTTGTGATTAATTTTTTTGTGGAAGAAGGTAGGACATTTTGCATTATAATTCTTTTTTGTTAAAATGGAACTGTTATTTAGCTCCAGATGAGTACTCGGGTAGTCCACAGCTTCAAGAAAGTGATACTTTGCAGTGGCTATTAATAGCTCTAATACATTATAATTTAAAGGCGAGTTTTAAGTAAGGAGGGTTCAGAGGTCTTATCATTGCTTTCGCCAAAAAACCTGTCACTTCCTACCATCAGTTGGAATGTACTTCAAGCAAGATTTACCATGTACTGTTTGATGAGATCAACAAGCTTCATTTTTTCTTCAGCGGTTGATGCTATCGAAAAATTCAAATGTGGTTCTACAACTACTGCTGTTGCACGAGGTTTAAAAGACTTGTATCCATGTAACTATGTAAATACTTCTTAGACTGTGAGTAAATCGCAGGCAGTTGTAACTTCTACAAAATAAAACTTAAATTCTTTTTAGTCATTACTTTGCTACAATTCCGCCGTGTAAAGCGGCATTTAGCAAACACTAAAATATGTAAGACCGAAGGAAGACAAGTCAGCAACCACTTCAACCAAATATAAAAAGGCTTACATAGCTCATACAAATGGCAATGTGGCGTACAAATAATTGATGCCAGAAAATACCACGAATCCTTTCTGATCTAACATTTACTCTGACTGCAGCTGGTCCACGGCACCAAGGGATCCTAGTCGCTTTCTACGTTCACTTTTTATAGAGTCCCATATTTCTAAGTGGTCATGTGTTCTTGCAGTGTGTTCATACTTCCGGATCACCAGCGGGATCATTTTGCCTGGTAATGGTAAACGGTTACCTAAAAATCCAACAACTTGACAGACTGTTTATAAGTGGTATGAACTTTCCGTTTAGCTGCTGAGAACTTATTTACTGCAGTCGAACTCAAAAGTCCCGGAGCGAAGCAACTTCATTCGAGACATGTAAGCCATTGAAAAGCCAGTCATAAACGAGTCTACTCCAGCCTTGTGGCACCCTGAAAAGATCAAAACTTTGCAAATCTGCTCCAGTTTTGCTCCTGACGCAGCTTAGTAGTGAAAATTGATACACGGGAGATGTAGTACCAATTTCTGTCTTCCTCATATAAGTTTCTTTATTTCTATAGAAATATCCACTTGTCGAGTTCTTTTTCGTTTCTGGGTTCTCAAGTCCTGCCACCTTAGTTTGCTCTCCCTTTAAATACTGTACTTCATCATTGTTTACTGCGATGCTTTTCGTTGAAAAGTCGTACCGTCTTTTGCGCCTACTGCGTAACTAGAATTTGAAAGGCTTCAGTTACTACAAACAATTCCTTTAGATGAGGTAAGAGTCGTACTTATTTCTGCAATAAGTCTTATTGGTGGAGAGAAGAATGAAGAAGACTCTGTTTCAAAAGAAATCACTTTCTTTTATGATAAATATACTTTAGCTTGTCTGAGCTCTTCAACGTCCAGTACTGCATCGATATTGTGCAGAAGAGAGCAGCTGGATTTAGAGTTGCAGAATCCATAAACCTAAAATGTTACCTTGAACCCTTCAGCTTTCGTTGACTAGAGTGGGATGTTTGAATGCAAAGAAGTTAGCCTGGTGTAAATGCAATGAACGAAAAATTAAAATTAGTATAATAAGTAAGAATACCGCATATTTCGGGCATATACACCTCCTCTCCTCTTCATTCGGGACATTTACTTTCACGTCTGCCAGGTAAAACCCTTCTGGTAGTTGGCAGCTGACGATATCAATAGCGTCCGAAAGTGATGAGACACTAAGCATAGAACTGTCAAATTCAATGCTTACGTAAAGGCGTGAAAATGAAGCTTCAACTGCATTCTCCCTTTGGCTAAAACTGTGAGTTCAGAATACTACATGCAGTTCGGCACAATGTTTATGCAAGTCGAAAGACTTTGTGAATTGGTGATCAGTACTATAAAAACCATAATCTTTAGAGTTTGGTGAATGCGTGAATCTGTCTAACAAAATCACCATTTTCGAAAAACATATTCTAAAAACGAAGCATTCATCCTAACGCAGTATTCAGAAAAATATTTAGAGTCGTAAATACAGGCTGATGCGTCTGGAAACCAATCTGAGATATTCGTCACAAATTCGGCCAACTTTTCCGGCAAATCAGCATAGAACTGCTGGTATAAAAAGATTAAATCGACGAGACCATTATGGAGCATCAGTGGAATATTTCGCTCTAAGATCTGTTTCCACAAAATCTTAAGTGAATTTTCCTGAAAATTTGTCGCAATGTCGACACGCAATCTGTAAGGCATGTCGTTTTGAAATCCGTCTAAATTCAGCGAAAATGGTTTCACGTTTTCTAACCCATCAATAACTGTGCTTTCTGAATTAGGAACTAGAAAGTAAACAAATTCTCCACCACTGCGCCAACAGATGGACTTACCTTATCAGATGAAGAAAAGTAATATGGGACTCCAAGTTCTACTAGACGATTCAAATCAAATTTGTTACGTACTAAAAATTGCAAACTAGATGGTTCCACAATAAATGGGTCCATACAGAACGTTAGAATATTAAACACCTGAATTATTAGGAGTGAAAATCAATCTGCAGGCTCTATGAACCCTTTTCAAGACCCATGTTGCTTTCCAACAAGGAATGGTGATATATAAATCAAAAATTAACCTAATTCTCTGTTATAAGGTTAGCATTTTGCTGAATTACTGATGGTACTTCTAGAAATGTTTTCTGCTGACTGTTGTAGGCTTACTTGGCATTTATACCTTATCCGCTTTTTTTGCCGAGTTTCTTTTCTTTTCAATAATTTAAAAGTGCTAATACCCAGCGACAGAATTGACCGCGTTCTGGCACCTTCTCTGATTGCGCCGTATCTCTCTTCAATATTTAAAGAATTCCATCCTTGACAAATTCCTAAGCCGCTAAGTTCCTAAAAAATACAGTAACAAACGATTCTACCTACCAAATTCCTCTCCCACAAAATCTCCTTCCCACATATTTAAAAATCGGCATACGAAGTCCAAGCTACTCACAAGTTAGAAGACCCATGTTTTATATTAATACATTAAAAATGTCCTATTGAATAAAAATGTCGCTACGATTTTTGGCAAAACAAATTTACAAGATCAATGGCCACGAAAGAAGCCTCTTTCAACGAGATCAGCAGATACGGCCAAAGTGTTTTAAAATTTTTCTGGTTAACTTCTACTACAACAATATGTGACAAACGACCAGTCCGGCTACGAAACATTGCAAGACGACCAGCTGCTTTACAACCATCATCCAGTCCCAACCTCGGTGCATCCTCAGCTGAAGCCATGTATAAGCTTTTCCTGAAACTTGACGACAGCTCCATCACAAAACATTAAGCTTGCAGCAATTTAAAGTTCGGCGCCACTACCTAACTTCAAACAATAAAATTTAAAAAAAGGTCAATATCACACCTGGAAATTATACTACGAGAAAATGCAACG